AAATAGTAAGAAATTCAGTTACAGTAAAGATAAAAGTTTTAAGGCATCCTCCTTCATTCTGTTCCACAGGTACATAAAGAACTAAATGTTTCACTTCGTGGACCATGTAAGAGAGCTGGGATTCAAAGGCACTCTTGCATCCTAAAAAATTGCTTCTTCCAGGCTATATTTGCTTTTATGCCTTGGGTGGTGAAATTTCAATAATTACATGAACGTTAAAGTGGTGTAGAACAAAACACAATAATTTCTAAAATTGAAACAAAAAAGAGGCATGCTTAGTGAGCTTGCATCTTTGAACTAAAGTGGAACAATAAAGGACCTTGTCTCAGCAAAAGCAAGCAGGAGAACCTCCTCCACCACCATAGAATGTCGATCTACGGAAAACGCAGACAGAGGTTTAAAAGAGGCAGGCTGGAGACTCACTCTCATCGGAGCTGCTATGGAATATTTTAGAATTTTCACTTTTTACAGTTTCCCTTGAGGTTTCCCTAACTTTAATGCACTGAAGATTAAGGTGATTGTATCAGTGGCAAACATTGCTCTATTTGTATAATTAAGTAACCAAATCTGGAGATTTTCAAAGAGTTATTATTTTCATGCAGTCACATCTTTAGCTGAGCCTTCCAGAAAACAGTATTTTCCTATTTTAAATTCCTATGAGGTAGGCATATTCGAATTTTATGGAAGAGGCTTAGAGTGGGTCAGTGACTTGTCTGAGGTCCCATGGTAGGTGACAGAGACAGGATCTGACCCAGAACTGACTCTAAAACCTTTGGTGTCTTTACACCCAGGACTTGCTGCCTCACTTTGAATGCTTAAACTTTTTCACCACTATAATCCAAGTTATAATCAAAATATTTTTAGTAACATATTTGACTATCCTTAGAAGAAATTCCTAGAAACAGAACTATCACTCAGAAGGCCCTCACCTCTCAATACACAGAAAGAGATCAGGGCCCAGTTCAAATCGTGACCATCTAAGCTGCTTGTATTTGCAGCTTCACTGTACATCTTTGGATTAGTTAATTCATCTGAGTTCCCCATTTATATGAAAGAGTTAATATTAATACTTAATTCAGGACTATTGAGAAAAGCAAATGAGTTAATACATTTAAAGTCTGGCACATAGTTGATTATAATGATGTTACCAAATTACCCTCCAGACAGTTGATAAGCATTTGCATTTCCTAATAGCAAGTGTTTTTATTATGTTAAGCCACTAAAATTTTGCATTTGAATTTACTTCTCCGGCTCATATAACCTCGGGTGTGCATGCCCAATTTCTGACCTGTTTCTAGTTCTTAGGTTTCTCTTATCCCAAAAAGCCTCCTTCTTTTAACATTCTCAGAGCTAATCACTCCTTACCCTTCCAAAACGATCACGCCCTGCCCACAGCCTTCCATCACAGTTGTACAGATGGTCTGCAATTAGGCCTTCCATGATTTTCAGGCTTTTTATCAGTTTCTACCCTCCGAAGAGCTTGGAGCAGTTTGCAGGATGTCTTCAATTTTAGCCTTGTCACAGAGTTCACTGGTTTCTCCAAATCAGCAATGACCTCCAAAGGTTCCTAGTACACCAGGGGTACTAGGCTTCATTTTGCATTTATTTGGCATTTATTTAGCATTTGTTTACAGAGTACTTCTTATGTGCTAGCACTGTGCTAAGTGTTGGGAATAGGGAATGAGGTAGGCACAGTCCCTGTCTTCCAGGAGCTTGCAACATAATCCCCAACACTGTCTCTAACGTGTCAATTAGCTGTAATTCTAAGGAAGGAAGTAATCTTTGGAGCACACAGACAATGCACCAGGATGTAACGTTGCTCCAAGAGGCTCCAAAATAAACCTGAATTCCATTAAGCCATTCCAGGCTAGAGGTGGTATGACAGGTTCACAATAACATTCCTCTGTCCTCAACCTCTTTAGAAGTATCAGACATTTCCTCACATTTCCAGAGCCCTTCTCATTTGTTCTCCTGACCTCAGTCATCTCACTGATCATAGCTTGCCCTCTCCTCCTCCTCCTCCTCCTCCTCCTCCTCCTATTCCTCCTCTGGGTAGTGCCCTGAGAAAGCTATCCCTAAGCCCTTAAAGGAGAAGTCCTACTGTATTCCTGCTGAAGTTGTAGGAATCACTCTTCCCTCACTTTAGTGATAAACTCTGATATCTGGGTTTCAAACAGTAATGAAATTAGGTTTTCATTTGCTGGTTGGTTGGTGGGAAGAGTTTTTCATATCCATTCATTGTCCTCTCTCCCCAGAAATCATATGTGGGTCTGTGGAGCTGGTATGAATCCCAACTGGGAGCCCCACTCACCTCACAATTCTCTGTCCTGGCAGGCCTCAGCAAGACTTTGAGATGTGCCCAGACATGTCTGAGTTCTGGTGTAAGTATAGTTAATTCTGAAGCTGGGAACGTTGCTCTACATGTTTATAAAAATGACTGTACATTAAAAACTTTATAGGAATAATTATACCAAACGTCTTAAAGGGATTGTGTTGCATGTAGTGATATTATGTGTGAAATTTGTCCTTATTTGTAAAATTTTCTCATGTTGTATCATGTAATTATGGCTTTTATAATGAAAAAAAAATGTATAGCCATATTGAAGAAAGGCATTGTGCTTCTGGAAAATCATGCCTCTATGGCAAGGCTTCAGCTGTTCTGGGCAGACGTGAGTCTGTATTCTAGGGCTGGAGCTGGCACAATGTCAGTGATCCAGCCCATCTGTTACAGGTTGAGGTTTTGGATAGAACTCCAGTTGTTCTAGTCAGGAAAAGGAGTGCTAGACAGGGAAACAGAGGAAAAAACTAATTTTACATGTTCTGGGCCCATATCTCTGATGAAGGAAACCAAAATATTCTTCTCTAAAATAAGGGACTTGTTGAGCTAAAATTACGGTTGAAATGGAAGAGCACATGCTGCCCCTCCCCTCTGCACTTCCCACCTGAAGATGGGCTCCTTTGCTGCACTTGCTTATCAGCTCAGAAACAGAACTCAGAGATTCTGGTGCCAGAGGATCTAGGAGCAGACTTTCCTCTTCCCATACGTTTACCTTCCTACATTTTTTTTTTTTTTTTTTTTTTTGCATTTTGGAAACCTGAAGATACTCTTTTCCATTACATCATGTTTAGCCTGAAGCTACCTCCTTACATATTTTAAGTTCAGCCTAAAGGTTTCTTTGTACACAGTGAACTATAATTTAAATGGGGGTGTAAACAGACTAAAGCCTACGCTTGTGCAGCCACTGTGTTTTGGCCAAAGGGGGCCAGCTGTTCAAGCCATGTTCAATAAGGTAAATGCCAAGCTGTAACCAACGCAGCTGTTCCCTATTGCACTTCTGTTTTCTGAATGTCACTTTCCTTTTCCATCTGTAAATCTTCTTCCACCACAGGGTTGCACTGAAGTCTCAGCCTAGTCTAGCTCAGGAGGCTGCCTGATTTATGAGTTGGTTTTGATCAATTAAACTCTGTTACATTTAATTTGGCTATGGGTTGTCTTTTAACACTTCTTTGTCTTGTCCCTACATAGGATTTATGGGTCATTGTTAAAACACCATTTCAGCTAGGTCCCTAAAGCACTATCTTGAAAGAGAAATACATTTGCCCAGAGGCCTCTCTCGCATAATGGGTACAAGTGTTAGTAAACTTCTGCTTATTTTTCTTTTGTTAATCTGACTTCAGGAGAGTGTCTCAACCTAGAACCTAAGAAAAAGGAAAGAAATTGTTTTTTCCCCTACACTAGCATGCCCAGTACTAGGTCAGTTAGCAAAAGAACTAAGTCCAAGTCTCATCAGCCAGTGAGATGTATTTCTTGACTGGTTAAGAGTGGCTTGGGACTTGCAGGTGGTAACTTTTAGAGACTCTAGCCTGTGTGGAGAGTCTCATTTGATACTCTTGAATAAGAAGCCCTAGTTATTTCCTGATCCCTTTACAACTTAACCTGATACACAGAGACAAAAGCATGGGAGGCACAGTGTTTGCTGAGTTTCTCTGTCCTCTGAACATGTTTTAAACCATCCATTATCGGTTTCTTTGTCAGAAAAAAAATTTTTTATTTATTATTTTTTTGAAACAGGATTTCGCTCTGTCACCCAGGCTGGAGTGCAGTGGTACAATCATGGCTCACTGCCGCCCCGCCCTCCTAGGCTCAAGTGATCCTCCCACCTCAGCCTCCCGAGTAGCTGGGATTGTAGGCATGCACCACCATGCCCAGTTGATTTTTGTTTTTTTGTTTTGTTTGTTTTGTTTTGTTTTGTTTTCTGTAGAAATTGGGCCCTACTACGTTGCCCAGGCTGGTGTCAAAGTCCTGGGCTCAAGTGATCCTCCCACCTCAGCCTCTCAAAGTGCTGGGACCAGGTATGAGCCATCTGTGCCTGGCCCAGAAAAAAAAAATTCTTATTTACTTCAGTCTAATTTTTTTCATTTTAATGCCTTCTTATTTACCTATACTAGAACTTCCGACAAGAAATAGGATACTACTAACAGCCTGTGCCAAATGTGTAGTAGGATGACTTGATAATTTAACTATATTTTAGAATGATCCACAGTTACAGTGTTTTTAATATGTCTATTTTCTCATTTATGTTGGAATAGAGATGACTATACCAAACTTCTTAAAGGGATTCTGTTGGGAGTAGTGGTATTATGTGTGAAATTTGTCTTCATTTTCTAAATTTTCTAATTTTATAAATTATTATCTAATTTATGTATTAAGCCTTTATCATTTATATAAATTTTTTCTTTTTACGAAGAGTAGCTGTATATGTTAATTTCCTATGTGTCATTTCATTTATTACTTTTCTGTTTGTAGCTGTCACAGTCTATGCAGATTGTTTTGAAATGCTGAAAAACTAATAATTACAAAGCAAAACCTTATTGTAGAAAAGTTAATAAATGCAGAACGACATTAACAATTTAAATGATCCATAATTCTACCACAATGGAAAATTATTTTAATATATTTGTGCATCATTCAGTTTAGTGGACTTTTTTTGGGGGGGGGTGATGGAGCAACCATTTATTTTCACACACTTTGACAAGGAGGTTTTCCGTAAACAACCTTTCCAGTGGATAACAGAGGACATGAGAATCAGCCTTCAGACATCAGCAGCTGCTCTGCTTAGGGCCGAGATTCCCCCTTGCTCACATGGTGAGGTGGAGGGGTGTACTTCCCTTCCTTTATCAGCTTATCCCACTGCTTCCTGATGGTACTTATATGTCTCATCATTTTCTGCTGAAGTATACACTCTATGAAATCATCATATTCTATTTTGCACTCTTTCTCTGACTGAATACTACCGATTCCATATGCACATTCTATCCATTCTTTTTCAAAAGGATGGCATTGAGCAGGAATCTTGTAGGGCTGTTCAGCACTTTGGATTGTCAACCATCGATCTATGTTAAGGCCAAACCTTTTCTGTGCGGCCAAAAAAGTCATGGCGATTGATACTCATGCCCTTGTCTTATCTCTAGTTTAGTGGTTTTTTTTAAATCACAATATAATTACTGGATTTACTGGCTAAGCAAGGCTCAGCATGCTCACCATGCTTATAACATTCTTCTAAGTGATTTCTTTCACCTACATTACTCTCCTGCTACTGTATGACCTGCTGGTTAGCTAAATCTGTGGTCAGAATGGGCACTGCCCTCAAAAGCGAGGGGGTAGGCATAATAATGATCCCTTTAAAGATATATACATCTGAATCCCTGGAACCTGTCAATATGTTATGTTACATGCAAAGGGGAATTAAGATTGCAGACAGAATTAAGGTTGCTGATTGGCTGACAGATTATCCTGGATTATCCAGGTGGACCCAATGTAACCACAAGTTTCCTTAAAAGTGGAAGGGAGAGTTCAAAAATTAGAGTCAGAAAAAGACGTGACATTGAAAGCTGGGTCAGAGAGATGCTATGTTGCTAGCTTTGGAGTCAGAGAAGGGGAGCCTTCTCCCATTTTACAATCAAGATTCTAAATTAATCTAAACTTTTATTTATTTTGAGGCAAGTAAAATATAGGCCAGAAAAAATGACGATGAGCCAGTGGATGCAGGTGGCCTCTGGCAGTTGAAACAGAAACAGATTTTCTCCTATAGCTTCTAGTAAGTAATGCTGCTGTGTTCACACCTCAATTTTAGTAGACAGAGCCCCATGTTGAGACCTCTGAACTACAGAACTATAGTTGTTTTAAACCACTGAGTTTGTGGTAATTTGTTATGGCAGTAATAGGAAACTGAATTCCTTCCTTCCTTCTACTTTCTCAAAAAGTAAGGACTCTTCAATGCAGGGCACTGTATTAGGTACTGAGGCATTATGCCAGATGCCAGAAACAGTAGTGAAGTAACTAACAGAAGGAAACAGAGCAGAGAAAAAAAGAATTAATGCCACCCTTAATTCCACAGTGTAGCAATCTATCAGAATAGCTGCAGCCTCTCTGCCTCTTGCTTTACTGCACGGAGTTCTCTACATATCTCACATTTCTTTACGTCTGTTGAGAAGAAGCACCTGACTGCCTTTGTTCAAGACTATCTTTTCAAGGATGTTCGTAGGGCAGACATCAGAATATACAGAATAACAAGTAAAATATAGGCCAGAAAAAAAAATGATGTTGATATAACAGCTTCAAAAAATAAATTTCACAATGGAATAGTTCATCTCATATGTATAAAAGCAAGTTAGGGCACGTATGGTGGCTCACACCTGTAATCGTAGAACTTTGGAAGGCCGAGGCGGGTGGATCACTTGAGGTCAGGAGATTGAGACCAGCCTGGCCAACATGGTAAAGCCTTGTCTCTACAAAAAATACAAAAATTAGCTGGGCATGGTGGCGCATGCTTGTAATCCCAGCTACTTGGGAGGCTGAGGTGGGAGGATTGCTTGAACCCAGGAGGTGGAGGTTATAGGGAGCTGAGATCACATAACTGCACTCCAGCCTGGGCTACAGAGCAATACTCCATCTCTAAATAAATAAATAAATGCAAGTTAGATGAATTTAGAATCTTGATTATAAAATGTGACAGTAAGTTTAGTAAAGATAAAAATAGGAAAAACTAGAAATGTTAATTAAGCTATTGTATTAGTCTATTCTCACACTGCTAATAAAAATATACCTGAGACTGGATAATTTATAAAGGAAAAAGGTTTAATTGACTCACAGTTCAGCATGGCTGGGGAGGCCTCAGGAAATTTACAATCATGGCAAAAGTCCAAGGGGAAGCAAGGCATCTTCTTCATAAGGCAGCAGGAAGGAGAAATGCAAGCAGGGAAAATGCCAGACACTTATAAAACCATCACATCTTGTGAGACTCACTCATTACGAGAACAGCATGGGGAACCAACCCCATGATTCAATTACTTCCACCTGATTCTGCCCTTGACGTGGGGATTATAATTCAAGGTGAGATTTGGGTGGGAACACAGGGCCAAACCATATCAGGAAGTTAAGGAATTATCTGGTTTTTGGAATTTCCTCTGAAAATACTTTATGGTTGGAAAACCAAGTAGTACGCAAGTTTTTACACTGTGATTATATTTGTATTTAATATTTCTTCAGAGTTAAATTGGCATTGAAATGGTAGGATCAAAACTGAAGAAGTATGAGTCTTACAACAAGAAAAATACCTAACTAAAATACTTGGGTAAAACTTTTGAAATGTCATATTGAAAATATGACTTCTCATGTATTTGATAAATTACTTTTAAACAAAGTAATTTCTGAAGCACTGAAAGAAGCAGTGCCTTTGGTGTTTGACTATGTTTACTTATCTTACTTTCAGATGTAAAATCTGTAAGTTTTCAGAAAAATAATCATTGAAAGATATCAAGTAATCAACTCCAACATCTACCAAATAAAGCAGAAAAGAATTTTAGAGTCCTTTTGTTTCTTTGCATTGATTCCACAAGTGTGATCTTCATCTGATTTCCTTTTAAGTGTTCCTACATCAGTAAGTGAAATAAAGCAGTTCAGGACATTTACTCTGATTTATTTAGACAAAAGATTTGGAAATATGCAGTTAAACTTAAAAGTCATTTTTCCAGGAAATTTATGCATTCTTAAAATTTTCCCCATGTTCCTCATAGGAAATAAAAGAAATAAAATGACATGAAGTTCCACCATGCCAAGATAAACACTGTTATATTTTGCACATTTCCTTCTAGTTTTTTGAGATCATATATTTTATATGATATCATATAGCAAAATATTATACATAGCCTGAGTTTTCACTATAGAAGTAGTATATTCTATTGTAGAAAATTTACAAAAATTGTAACATAGAAAAAATATTAAAATACATAATTGGATTAATGACAAATAGAATTTACTATCAAGTATGAAAAGTTCACCAAGTAAATTAATCAGTTTCACTAATTTATAATTCTCTACATTTTCCTAATTTATTAGAAAAAAATAAAATAACATTAGAAGGCTATAAAAGCCATATGTAACTTTCCATCAACTTTTTCCCAGAGTGGGAAGAAATCTCAACTACTAGAAAGATTAGGTCGTCAAAAATGTACAAAACTCAGCTATATAAACTGAGAAACTTATGTCACAATTAGATTTGTATTATAATAGTGTTCATTTTAAAATATTGAAACAAGTTAGAAAATAAGTAAAAGCAAACAACAACAAAAAGGCATTTCCACTGAACAAGTCTAAGGACAGATTGCTGCTACCAAATGGTTGTAGGCTTCAAAGTTGGCATGTATCTTTCCTAATAGTATATCTTAAGGCAGCAAGGTAGGTCTGCTCTTATGTTAGGAAAAACCATTGTATCCTCACAAAAGTTAATAGGTGTTTCAAGAAAAAATAAAGTGTTTGTGGCCAAACATGTTTGAGAAAAGTTGTCTATTTTTGTTTCCTCCTAGAACACAAAGAATGAGAGCATATTAAATACTGAAAAATTTTATTTCAGAATTTCTCAGATTTATTTGATAAAGGGATTCACTTTTTTCCCCCTCTAAAGATGATGATCTTACAAAGACAAAGTCCTGGAGAATCTAGTTTGGGAAGTTCACACAGCTCAGTAGATACCTACTCAGCGTCTCATCCAATTATCTTGGATTTTTAAAGATTGTCTGAATAGTTTGTGATTCATTCCTTTGGAATAATCTCGTTTGCTCTCTAATTTAATGTCCTATAGCCCACCCCAGAGTTACTTCCAAGTATTCTCTTCTGCTTACCAGTCACCTTTCTATGTGACTTTCTATGACTACTAGCATGCTTTAAGTACTAATAAATCCAGACGGATATTTCAGAATTCCAAATATAAACCACATCTACTGATGATAGTAAAAATAAAATAATGTCATAAGAAAATCTCCAGAGATCTTCCCTGAGTCTTCCCTACTTTTTGAAGAGCCCATACCACTTTATCTTCTTTTATTCTTTCTAAATTCTTCATAAAAGAGGAAGTCTCATTACATTCTAGAACTAATTTCACCTCTAGAGGCTGGAAAAGTTCTTTTTTAAAAAAATTACAGAGCCTTAATTCAGAGCTTTTCAATCATGCTTTTGAGGCACAAACAGTTGTCAAGTGTGTTGGAGACGGCACTCTCCTCATCCCTTAACGGGGTGGTACAAGACCTATAAACGGGGCACTTGCTTTTGGCTACAAGCAACTTCATTGGATTTTCTCAGGATGCCTTAGAAATATCATATTATGGGCCAGGCATGGTGGCTCACACCTGTAATCCCAGCACTTTGGGAGCCCCAGGCAGGTGGATCACATGGTCAAGGAATCAAGACCATCCCGGCCAACACGGTGAAACCTCGTCTCTACTAAAAATACAAAAATTAGCTGGGTGTGGTGGCACGTGCCTGTAGTCCGGGTACTCAGGAGGCTGAGGCAGGAGAATCGCTTGAACCCAGGAGGCAGGGGTTGCAGTGAGGTGAGATTGTGCCACTGCACTTCAGTGTGGGACAGAGCGAGACTCTGTCAAAAGAAAGAAAGGAAGAAAGGAAGGAAGAAAGAAAGAAAAAAAGAGAAAGAAAAAGAAAGAAAGAGAGAGAGGAAGGAAAGAAGGAAGGAGGGAGGGAAGGAAGGAAGGAAGGAAGGAATGAAGGAAGGAGCAAGGAAAAAAGGAAGAAGAAATTATGTTGCTGGGGTATGAAAAATGGTGAAAAGACATACATTAGTATGCTCAAAACATTTGTATACTGACCCACTTTCCCTTAAGCTGGAAAAGAACTAGAATTTGTTGGATAAAGACATCACAAAATTCATAAACAAGAAACATATATATTTAAATAATAGGAGCAATTTTGATAGGTTCTCAAACATTTTAGTACAGCTATTAAACTATGACTTAAAGGATATTGTTTAAAATATTGGTAATAAAATCATATTGTTCCTAAAATATAAAAACACCATAAGAAAAGGTAGTTATAGTGAATCTTTCTTTTTAAACCAAGAGCAAAATCCATGAAAACTTCTATATGAAGCTGGATATAAAAAGTAGTGCCATTTGAATATTGTAGTCCACAGGATTCAACCTTCATTTAATTGTAAATTGCTATGATTTATTAAGTAAAATATGTGCAGAAATGACATAATATCTAAAATACTTATTGTTTTTAAAGAGCCTTAGATGAATGCCAAGAACACAAAACAGTGAAATAATGCAGTATGTTAAGCGTGACAGAGCAGCATTTAATAGCTATGCAGTAATTTGTCGTATATTGCTTGCATAACAATTAATGTTTGGAAATATTTTATTAATAGATAAAAGGTTTTGTCAGTGAGTACATGCAAGGAAATAATATCAGAACAAGAAAATCTGATACTTTTAAACTACCGTCTGACAGATTACATGAAATTAAATAAAAAACAATCTTTTGACAGGCTATTTGTGTTTTCCAGATTTACAGAGCAATTCTCTTGTATTATTAAATAAACATACTTTTAAATTTCTACTATCCTAGACTAATTGTTGGAGGCAAATTAATTTCAGATTATTTTCTAACACTTTTGATGGAGGAAAATATCTAAAGCAAGAATTTGTATTAATCACATATCCATCTGTCTTCTACATAAGCCATTCAGATCTTATCTGTTTTAAAACCAGTGCATCCTTTTGCTGAGAACATTACTTAAGTATTCCTCCCCAAATTAGGACACATATGCATCATCTGTGAGTCATACGGCTCTCAAATACATGGATTTCAAATTCCATCATCATTATGAGTCCATACAATGCCCCTCTAGTTTTATTTCATCATCCTTTCCCCTTTGTCCTAATTATTCTCATATACATTGTTCTTCCCATCAGAGATATTCACATTAATATATCCAATATGTTTCCTTAGGCATCTGAAAATACAGCCCTGAGATATAATATATGGTTGTTTTCTCTCTGTGTTTATGTATATTTTGAATATATAAAAATTGTTTTGGCCTATAGAATTCATTCCATATTTCCAAGATCCATCTACATTGCTATATATAAAAATGGTTAACTATTTCTTCCCATTGTGTGTATATGCTACACCTTCTAATTAGCTATTTCCCCAGGGATGAACATTAAGCTTCTTGCTAACACAAATAATGCTAGGATACCACACTCTAAAATATCCCCTTAAGGATTTGTACGCAATATAAACCCAGGTGAAGGAATGATTTGTATACAGAATTACATGAATAATTAATTTCACTAGGTATTGTGAGTTACACTCCCACCAATAGCGCATGAAGTTTCTGATTTCTCAACATCCTAGCCAGCACTTAGTATTAGCTGACTTTGTAATTTTTAGTGATTC